TTATATTTTTATTTAATCCGTAACATCCCAGACGTAGTAGTAACAAGAACGCCTGCGCTATGCAAATCCAGACAAATTACAACAGAATTGCAGAATAAACTCCAAGAAAAGAAAGAGACAAGACGCTTCATCAATATTTTACCAGCGAGGTCCGCGCTTCTTGTAACCACCACCGCCATACCGAGGACCACGTCCACCACCGGAGCGTCCACCCCAACCACCATCATCGTCATCGTGGTGACGAACCGGCGGAGGCCGTCCCTTAAGCTCCTCGCTGAGCTTCTTAAACCCCTTGCGCATGTCCGAGTATCCCATGTGCATCTTTCCGAAGAAATGGTCCGCCAACCGACGATCGTTATCGAGACGACTCAGATACGCGCCGCAGACATCGCACACTTGCAGCTTCTGATGACCCGACGGGCCGGAGGTATCTTGTAGGTTCTTCAACTCGCGTTCACATGTTTCCTTTTGGTGCTTCGCGGTGCGGATCTTGTGCAGTTCGTTCAGGGCCTGTGCGACGGAGCCGGTTTCGCCCAGCACCGAGATCTCGAGGAGGCCCGTGTTGATGGTTTTCGTTAGGTCGGAGATTTGTTTCAGCTATTATGTTAGAGATGTGGTCAGCTACATGTCTTCTCTTGGCCGCTTGAGATATCCTGTATATCGGATGGGAGTGTATGCCTTACCAAGTTGTTGGTCTGTCTGATCTCATCCGGAGTCTTTTCCAAGCGTCGCTGAGCGGTATCAATACGTCGGTCACAATCATCGATGTATTTCTGCATGTCGCGCATATAGTCGTAATCGAATCCCCATTTGGCCTTCTCGGCCGCCGAGGCGGTCTCATACTCCGTCTTCAATCCTTCGCTGTGAACTTTCTGGCATGGGCCCAGATCTTGCTTGGTATTGGTGAAGAGGTCATGCGGACAAGTGCCGACAAGATACGAGCGACAGACTTTCGGATCGGTGATTTGGAGCTGCGCATTGCGAGAAGGAGCGCCGGTACCTATGAGCTGGTCCGCTGGAAAAAGAATTGCATTAGCTGTTGTTTAGAGCTTGGGAGAAGCTGGAGATGGGCAACTTACCTCCCATGAGCTGCTCAAGCAGCTTTCTCTGTTCCGCCGCCATGATGGGATGATGCCAGAGGGAGAATGGAGGGTGGGGAGAGCACGAATGGTCAGAGCGTAACTGAGAGATTGAATGGAGATTGCGATGGAGAGTCGAGATTCTGCGGGCGTGGCGCTAACCGCGGCTGGCGCTTATATAAGTTGAACCGGAGTCCCCCTGTCGATTCCCGCTGATTTGCGGAGTACAGTTCGGCCTTTCCACCTTACTACTAGTTGGCGACATCGGTGCCATGATCTGGACACTTTGACGCTTGATACATCTTATGCAGGCTTGATACTGTCGCGCGGCCCGGTCAGCCTGTTATTCAGCTTTGCTTGAATTAAAACGCAATCGACCGTTCTTCTCCGCCGCTCGGAGGACTGAACTTACACACTCCGTGTATGGCTTGCTAGTGGTAGTGAGGTACGCGATAGAATCACTACACAGTATCTAGAACGTTCTGCATCGGCAAGCATGACGTGATGACGGTCCTCTCTCTCCTTACTTTACTTTTCGTTGTCGCGCTCTCTTCGTTCACATCGGCGACTTCCGACTATCACGAGAGCCTATACCTCCAACCACTCCCGCAGTCATCCTTGTTAGCATCTTTCAACTTTCGTGGCAATGAGTCCCAAAAGTCCTTCGATGAACGCCATTTCCGCTATTTTCCGAGAGCGTTAGGTCAGATCCTACAGCACGCCAACACGAAGGAGCTTCATCTGCGGTTCACTACTGGGCGATGGGATGCTGAGAGCTGGGGTCCCCGTCCTTGGAACGGGAGCAAAGAGGGTGGTACTGGTGTTGAGCTATGGGCATGGATAGATGCACCCAATGATGAAGCGTATGTGTGACCGGGAAGGAGGAGAGGACGACGTAGCATGTGCAACGATACTGATGGGCATTAGGGCCTCTGCGAAATGGATTACCCTGACTCAGTCTCTGTCGGGATTGTTTTGCGCCTCGCTGAATTTCATCGACTCAACCCGAACCACTCGCCCTGTTGCTTCATTCGAACTTATGGGAGACCATCCAGCTTCCAGTAATCTGCATCTGCTACACGGGACACTTCCTGGCGAGGTGGTCTGCACTGAAAATCTTACGCCATTCCTGAAGTTACTTCCGTGCAAGGGCAAGGCAGGCGTTTCCAGCCTTCTAGATGGACATAAGCTGTTCGACGCTTCTTGGCAGAGCATGTCTGTGGATGTCAGTCCTGTCTGTCCTCAGCCAGGAGAGTGTTACTTGCATGTCGACCAGACCGTGGACATTGTCCTTGATATTGACCGGTCGAAGCGACCCCGCGGTTAGTTTATTGGCACCTGAGGTCTGATTGATATACTAATGGCTACGCAGGCAATCCGATTCCGCGACCTGTACCTTCTGATCAGCTTGCATGCGACACATCCAAGCCCTACCGTTCCGATGATACCTGCTATCCTTTGGAAAGCACATCGGAAAAAGGCTGGAGCTTGACGGAAATCTTCGGACGCACCCTCAGTGGCGCTTGTCCTCTCACGGATAATGCTTCTCAAGAGCCGGTCTGCCTACGGGTGCCGCATGAGCGCGAGGTAATTGTTACTCCAGGTGCAGTGGAGACTAAGAGGCCGGATGGCTTCACTCGCTGTTTTACTTTGGAGCCTTCTACTCCGTTCGACCTCACCATCCCTGAACAAGAAGTTACCACTCATGTGCCACTTGATGAGCCTGTCTTGAGCGCGGAGAGAACGATTGTTGGTCACGGCCAAGAGCGCGGTGGCATGCGGATCATCTTCGACAACCCGTCTGCCTCCAACTCTGTCGACTTCATTTACTTTGAGACCCTACCATGGTTTCTACGACCATATGTCCACACACTGCAGGCTTCTATCACAGGCCGCAATGGACTACGCCAACAAGTACCCGCCTCACAATTCATCCGTGAATCCTTCTACCGACCGGCCATCGACCGAGAGCGAGGAACACAGCTGGAGCTGGCAATGACGATACCTCCCGCGTCGACCGTGACTCTCACATACGACTTTGAGAAAGCGATTTTGCGATACACGGAATATCCCCCGGACGCGAACCGCGGCTTCAACGTCGCTCCCGCCGTAATCAAGCTCGATGCAGCGAACGGCCAAAATCACCCAATCTATATCCGCACTACCAGCCTTCTTCTCCCGCTTCCCACCCCCGACTTCAGCATGCCATACAACGTGATCATCCTAACCAGCACCGTCGTTGCGCTCGCCTTCGGCAGTATCTTCAACCTCCTTGTCCGTCGCTTCGTGACGGCCGAAGAAGCCTCCGCGTTGACCGCGCAAACCCTCAAGGGACGCCTGGGGGGGGAAATAGTTGCCTTACGGGACCGAATCAAGGGCAAGACAGCCAAGAAAGAATAGACAAGGCAAAAGAGCTATCATAAACAATGCATCCATCTTGATTGTGACGTACATGCTATACCAATACAATAAACCAACCACATCACATTAATCTTACTATCAACACCTGCTTGATCCATTTTAACATCACTCCCCAAATAATACCCAATATATTCTCAATTTTCAAAACCATATGTCATTTGATACCATTCATTCATATCATTCATAAAAGCACCCCTCCCCAAAATCAAAGGAAAACCCCAAATTACTCCGGATAAAGACTAAAAACCCAACCCCACCCCATCAGCCCGCATCCCAAAAAAGGAACAGCCAGAGCATCAGGAAGGAAGGAAGGAAGGAAGGAGCGGCGATAAGCTTACAATCCCAACTTATCCTTCAGCACAGTCCAACCGGGCAATGCATCCGAGCCACCAGGCTTCGTGCCCATGAAGCTATGATCTTCCGTAGCACAAGTTCCCTCTCGCTGATCATGTCCTTCATCCCACCGACTCATGAACTTTTCCTCTGCGGCCTGCTTTTGCTGCGAGATGCCTTGCAGGGCGGGCGTGGTGAGAATGTCGGACTAATCACAGATTTATTAGCAGTGCTTTCCAAGAAGAAGGTAGATAAGAAAGGGGTGATTGGGTAGTACGTACAGGAACCCCATCGTCCGACGACGACGTCTGGTTCGCTGTTCCTAGACCTCCTCCCTTGGGATAGCCCTCGTCGCCCCAGCCACTGCCTCCGCCGGAGTTGTTGGCTGGTGTGGGTTGGGCGCTGGCGCCGCCGCGGGTGGAGCCTGGGAGACGGTTTTGGGACATTTTGTGTGTATATATAGATATATAATATAATGTGTGTGAAGGGTTTCAAAAAGTAATTTGTTCTGGGGATGAATTCGTTAGTTTGGTTTAATGGTTTAAACTTGGTTTTTAGGGGCGATGTTGGTGACGTTGTATATAGTATATATAGTTGGAGTAGATGATGGTCGGGATATATGATATATCCTTGATTTTTCTTATAACCAGACGGCGATTAACTTACCTAGATGTTCAACTTGAGCTGAGTAGATAATAATGATAAAGCTATCATTTTTCTTATGATCGAATTGGGCGATTTATAGTCGAGAATCTCTCATGAAGGGCAGTGATCTCATCATGAACAAACGTCATAGGGGTCTGCTTGATTGGCCGGTTGTTGCCACTCGGGCTTAGTCAGGATGCTATATCCATGGAAGCTAACTACGCAAGAAGAACTGCCACGACGGAGGACGTTCTGGACTGTGTGTTGATGGGCATTGGATGAATGATGATCGCATAGTTCATGCAGAGGTGATGTCCTATCTAATACGGCTAATTCGGTATACCTCAAGGCAGTGGGATGAGACTCGCCTCTATTGCGGTGCGGTATAGGTATGTACATCACGTCATAGCTAACCAAGCAGGTATAAGCAAAGCTTTCATCTCTTGAAGGGACAAGGATATCTGAAAAAGACGCATAGTGACGGGCAAGGCTTTAGTAGGCCATTAGAATGATATCGTATCAAAGCAAGCAACAAGTACTGTTTAGGGGGAATATGAGTGCAAGAATTCATGTGTCTTTGGCGCAGATTGGACTTGAAATCATATGACAATGATCAGGAAATCAGGCAGATTCGTAAATGTATGATTACTGAGACTCGACTTGATCGGCCCAGGAAGCTCCCGCCACTGGTGACAAGGAGTCCGACTTGAGCAGATCAGGGGTAGCGGGCGCTTCCTCACCAGCCTTCTCCTTCTCTTTCTTCTCACTTCCAGGTAGAGAAGGGAACTCAGACTCGTTATTGATCACTGGAGCAGATGCTTTAGGCTTGGTTTCACCCGAAGCAGGCTGATCAGCAGCACCATCGGACGCTGCAATATCTCCTCGAGGCCCGCGATGTCCACCGCGGCCACGTCCACCTCGACCACCACGTCCGCGGCCGCGATGATGAGGAGGACGGGCGTCTTCACTGGCTTCTTCACTGGGCTGGGAATCAAAGTCGCGTCGGGCGTACCCAGACACACCGCCGTGCATACCTCGTCGGAAGCCACCCCTGCCACCACGGGGATTGTAATGTTCCTCCTTCTTCTCGGCGTCCCACTCCCTTCCGTTCAAGGCACCCAGTTTGCGCAGTCGGTTACGCTCCCGTTCATTGTCCATGGCCTTGCGATGCTGGCGTTCCTGGCGTCGCTTTTCTTCGGCGACCTTCTCGCGCTCAAGGAACGACGCTTGGTCTGCCTCAGCTCGAGCATGTGCAGCGGCAACTTTGGCAGCGTTTTCTTTGGCGGCAGCGATGCGACGGGAGAGTTCTTCCTCCGTAAGCTTCGGCTAGTTACGAGTTAGCAAGCATACATATAGACATCGCAGATGCTCCTACCTTTTTTAAACCACCTGTAGCACTTCTGTCTCCGCGAACCGCAGGCACGCGCGGTCCCTCTGGAGCTGCAGCCTGCTTGGGATCCGACGCCGTTGTTTCCTCCTTGCCATTCTGATCTCCCTCAGCCGGCGACTCCGGAGTCGAACCCTCCTCATTCTTATTCTCATGCTCAGGAGCACTTTCGACGGGCTTGTTCTTCACAGCCCCATCCCCCCGACGGCCTCCATTATGCGATCCCCGCCCACCACGTCCTCTGCCTCGACCCCGTCCTCGCCTTTCGCCTCCACGAGACCGTGATGATGGGGTATCAGTTCGAGCAGGTGGCGGCGCATCGCTTTCGACAACAGGAGCGGGGGCAGGTTCCGTGTGGACTTCGGGTTCAGGTTGCTGTTCAACGGCGGGAACGGGGACGATCTCATCGTCGAAGAGGTCATCGCCACCTCGAGTCTGCGCGAACTCGTCCATAGCAGGTGCGTCGGAAGTGGGATCGGTCATTATCTTGTGTGACGTTGTAGTGGAAAAGCTGAGTGCGCTCCGATCGCGGGTTTAATGCGACTGTACGCGCTCACGATGCCGGACGATACGACCAATAAAAACGATCCGTGGTAGCTTGAGTGGTGAACCAGCGATCAAGGCTCAACGCTAGTCGCGGGGAGCAAGTCAGCTTATCACCAGGCAGAAAGGAAACCCATCCTGTATGATCTTCCACCGAGCAGGAGCTCACACCACCTTCAGAGCGTGCAACCACCCCCTGCGCCATCCACAGCAATGTCTCGGGGCGAGATCAAGCCAGCTAACCTTGCTTCGAAGGTGGCGTTCTGGGGGAGAATACCGCAACCCCAGATGCCCGCTCCAGCTGCGAAGGCGGTCTGCGTGTGGACCGGAGACGTTTGTTGCGGGGGTTGCGATTGATGTCTCCGGGAAGAATGGATATAATGGCTGTGTAGGGATAAAGCACGTACTGTATAAATATTTATTCGCCTGGTCACAGATTTTCTTCACACAATTGAGGTCGAGATCAAGATCAGCGAGGCTGGGAGGAAACGGCGAAGGGTGGAGGGAGACTGACTGCTGATCGGCGGGCGCTTTTCTGCCGTAGAATACCGCTGTTTTCTGCCCAGTTTAACCCTAAAGGCTCAGGCAGTCCATCTGGACTAACTTCTCATCCTTAGAGCTTGTCTCTAGGTAGGCAGTTTCATTTTTTCCGGGTAGTCTATCAGCGGTAACTTGACATATATTTCTACAGGGTCTGCTATAATTGGCTCTTTTCTCAGAGGTTTACTATCCTCTTACACCAGTGTAGGGAGCGGCCCCTCCAGTCCCTTAGTGCTACATTAAGGTGCTATCGCTCATTGCAAACTATACTGAAAACAAGACGACCATATAGTGTAGCATTTTGATCACTGATTACCATGTTATAGATATATGACAGCAATAGTATAGAGCGCCACGTTATGCTCGTGACCATGATATCATGAAGCAAGTACAGAATGATCTGTGATCAATGTCAGCAACAAGCCTAGGTCATGCATAAGCCATTGTATACATACATACGGAAACAACGAGTAGCACTATGGCTGCCCTAGGGCTTTGTGCACCAACAAAGCCGATTAAAAGGCTATACAAGGGTGTAGGGTATGAACCTAAGAGACGTCTTGAAGCAGGCACCTCTTCATATCGTTTCACGGTGTCGTCGACAATTGTCTGCAGGTTCGCAGCTGCGGCCGTTGTTTTATCGACAAGAGCTTGGGAGGTCCGCATATTCGTGAGGAGATGCTCTTGAAGTTCATACTGCCCTAGCTGAGCGCTGCGCAGGTCCTCAGCGATTACTTGAGATCCACTTAGGGCAGTTTCAAGATTACTTAGGCGCTGAGAAGGTTAGCTATTTACCAATTCCAACAGGTCACTGCTAACCTTAGATATGTCTTGCTCTTGCTGAAGTATTTGGACAAACCTGCCCGCAAGCCATTCCTGACACAGTCAATCTCTAGAAATTTTATGGAAAGGCAGGGCTTACTAGGGCAGAGTCGAAGTTTGTCACCGTGCCTGACAGCTTTTCCATGTCGCCTTGAACGTCTGAAACTAGGTCACTCATTGCGAGAGCATCCTGCTGTCGAGTCACTGCTTGCTGTTGACCCCATGCTATGCCTTCATCCTCAAAGAGCTTCAAAATGTGCCGTAGGTTTTTGATATCTTCCGCTGCGTTCGCTATATTCTGCTATACGTCAGTCATAGCTCTAGCAAGCGGTGAACTACTAACCTTGTCAAGAGATGCCGTGCTGCCATGTAGGTTCCTAACAGTGGAAACCACAGGCTCTAGGATCGAGACAACATGGACACCCATGTCGAGGATCAAATTCTCGAGCCTAGTTTGGAAGTGTATCTCCGTTTCCTCCATGCTAACTACCAGCTTGCTTCTCATGGCTTCGACTGATTGCAGGAACTCCTTATATTGAGAAAGCCCAGTGGCGGCCACTTTCAGTGCTTCCTGAAGCCCATGATCAAGCTTTATCGTGCCTTCAACAATAGACCGGTGGAGTTCAATAATCTCCTCCCTTTCATTCTCAAACCTGGCGGCTTGGCATATAACCACGGAATTTTGCCTACTGTTACTATAAGATGTCCACCACTGGGGCCGTGACTCTAGAGAACGGAGACAGGACTCCAATTGTCCTTCGGTTACGGTTTCTGCAGCACTGAAGTGGGTCTTATAACCGGTGGACAGCCCGAAGAGCCCTTTCTTCTGCGGCAGCCGCATAGTTATAGGATGACATGAAGTGGGAACTGCAGCACCCGCTTCATTGAGCTCACATATGGCAAGTCTTGCCGCGTAAATCGAGCGGATGTGCTCCAGCGTCGTAAATGTGTGTGGGTTTGGCTTGTCAGATCTGCCCCCGATCGACTGGCAGGAAGTAACCAGTTTTGAAACTGCCATTTGATGGCAAGATGGAAGAGTCTGCATTGACTGCAGAAGTCCAAGTGCATCTGAAAATAGTACTTCACGCTGGTGGCTTTTGGAAGACAATAAAGAGGCTAGATCGGCGTCCATATTCGAATTTCGGTGTTCGGCCGAAAGCACTTGCTAGTAGGTTAGCGTAAGCCAAACCACGGGTGTAAGCAGACGTACCATCCATTGAACTAGCAGAAACTGTGGCATTGCAGATGTTTAGTATTAGTATTAGGTAGCGTAACAAAGGGAAGGACATTCTAATGCCTGAGCTTCCCGGCATTTTGGCTGTGGTGATATGTCGCAACCCTGGGGATGTTAGCAGGAGAAAAGCGCAGAGGCTATGCTGATTACAAGAGCAGATATTAACAGCAGAGAAGAGAACAGAATAGCGATTGGATGGTATACAAGTTGCGAGCTAAAAGTACGAAGCAGCAATTGAGATCTTAGCAACAGTCAAAGCAACCGCACATCTGAAGCCGTTGTACAGGAATGAGACACCTGGTGATCACATCAGAACAATAGATAAAATAAGAGATTAACTCAAACTAGGGTTTAGAGAAAACAAATCCACAGTTATTCAAACAATATTCTGTGATGTGGAGAAAGTAAAAGGGAAGTGAGAGCATGCCATCTATAGAACCCATCACGTGACCCCACACTAACCACATCGGGAGTGCAAGATCTCCGGACAAAATCAGTCGGCATCGGAGTTCCCAAGCACTTATCCAGACCTCAAATCCACAATTACCGTCGCCATGTCATGTTACTTGTCCCAGAGCTGCTTTAGGCAGCTTGCGCGGGGTCCTTTGAGACAAGGACCTCTGCCCAACTTCCTCGTCCCTGCCTTCTCTCACCCTCTCCGGACACAATCTTTCTCGACCACGTCCCCGGTACAATCGCGAGTTGGCGGCGCCGCGATCACGGTGCCCCCGGAGGTGTCCCTGAAGTTCATCGACCTTCCTCAGCCCAAGACCAAGGCCAAGTCTGTCGACTTCCCTAACATGGCCGTTGAGGTCAAAGGACCCCTGGGTAAGGAGCAATGGCTACACTTCATAACGGCGGCGGCGGAAAAGCGGAGCGAAACTGACATTTGAGCGCTAGGTGAATTGTCGCTGAACGTCCCTTCCTACGTGAAAATTGACTACGATGAAGCCCTTCGCAAAGCTACTCTTGCCGTTCAAGACTCAGAGATCACTCACCAGCGTGCTATGTGGGGTGCGTCATTTTGTTGGAAATGAATTCATTGCTGGATCATAATTGACGAGGGATTGTTTTTTCTAGGAACCATGCGCGCCCATCTGCAGAACCACATCCTCGGAGTTTCGGAAGGTCACATTTGCATTCTGAGTTTCGTTGGTGTCGGTTACAGAGCTACCATTGAACCCACGGCGACCACCGTTGAGCCCCAATACCCCGGTCAGCAGTTCGTGTCCTTGAAGGTCGGATACTCGCACCCCATTGAGCTGGGTATTCCCAAGGGCGTCAAGGCCAGCACACCTCAGCCGACTCGTATCCTGCTGGAGAGTGTGGACAAGCAGCTTGTGACCAAGTTCGCGGCGGAGATCCGCGAATGGCGCAAGCCGGAACCTTACAAGGGCAAGGGTATCTTCGTCAACGGCGAGACGATCAAGCTCAAGGACAAGAAGATTCGTTGAAATTGGCGTCTATATTTTGGGGGAACGAAACTGTGTTTATTATTTCTGTACATGTATATCCGAGCACGGTTCTTTTGGTTCGCAATTGGTATCCTTTCTTTTTATGTACTTTTAGAGACGCATCTAGCGTGCACGGTCTGACAGAACTGATCGAGAATCTATTACATTCATGATAGAAAATCCCTTTATCGTCGTCACCTAGCCCTTACAACTTCAGGACAGTCTTCACCGCACCGATGACCTGGTCCTGAAGGGCCTTGGGGGCCGCGACAACTCCCTTGTTGGCCGCCAGGGTCCTGCCCTTGCTGAAATCCAGTCTCTGGCCGTAGATATCCGTCACTTGACCACCAGCTTCCCGCACGATCAGGTCACCCGCGGCGTGGTCCCAGATCTTCTCCTGGTAGTCCTTCCGCACCGGCAGACGCAAGTAGATGTCACCAGCACCGCGGGCAATCGAGCAGTACTTGGCCTGCGAGTCCAGACGCACACTGGGGGAGGTGATACCGAGAAGCTTAGCAACGGCGGCGTTGTCGTCCTGAGCGGAGTGACCGGCCTCAACACCCTCGCAGAACACGGCCTGAGCGATATCGGGGACGGGGCGCATGGAGATAGACTTGCTCTCAGCGAGAGCACCGTTGGTGAGGGGTCGGCTGATAGAACCAACCCCCTGGATGGCGGAGAAGAGGACACCCTTACCGGTGCCGCTGGACTGCTCGGCACCGATGCCCGCGGACATGGTCTCGGCGTCGTTGATAGGCAGGTTAGGGCAGCCAATGGCACCAACCTTGACATCACCGTCTTCAATCAGACCGAGACAGACGGCGTACTGACCACCACGCAAGAAACCCTTGGTGCCGTCGATGGGGTCCAGAGCCCAGATACGTCCCTTGGCACCACCAGCGCTCTTGCCCTGGTCGATGATGTCCAGCATCGCTTCTTCGCTAGGCAGAGGGCCTCCCAGGAGGTTGTCGCTCTCGGTGTCCACCAACTTGATATCCTGAACGAGTCTCCAGATCTCGGCGCTCAGCACCTTGTCCTCGCGGAGGCTGCTGGCCTCCTCTTCGGCGACGATCTCGTCATTGGGGAAGTTCTTGCGGATGGCTTGGATGATCAGAGCCTGGGCGCCGAAGTCGCCAATGGTAACGGGTGACTTGTCATCTTTGGAGACGGTGCCCTTGGCCTTTTCGTTGAAGACCTTCTGGGTAAGGAGGGTGGCACGCTGGACGGCCAGCTCGGCAATGTAGCGTTCTTGTTGGTAGGACATGGTGGTGGGTTGGGTATAGGAGGAGAAGGAGGGGGATAGGTGGGGGAGGGATGGGAGTAGATGAGGGCGGGTTTTTAAAATGAAGCTGACACCCAGTAGCAGAGTGGAGCAGAGGACCAGACGGGAGAAGATGGAGATAGTACGCGGCCTGCGAATGGAGCAAGGATCTGCCGAATTCGTTGACCAGAGACCCATGGAATTGGGATGCTAACGGTGGCGAATGGTTGAGCAACAGGATACGAACCGTCCGTGTAAATTATTCGAGCAGTTCCTGCGTCAAACGAGGTCCAACCACTGGGATCAGAAATGCTCGTGGGATTATGCTTGACCGTTCAGACTCGCAGGAATGAAGAAGCCCGGGATCGGCGTGGGCCATGGGGGTGCCCCAGGCGCACATCAGGCAAATCAGGCACTGAGTCGGAAAGTTCCCCCGCACTTGTCCCAATTGGGACAGGCAAGAGGGGCAGTCACGAGATCGGGATGGAATCAACACCGCATGACGTTGGAGGCGCCGGTCCAATCCTTCGTCTCTTGCAGTTGCTGCAGCTCAAACGGCTCCAACGCTGCTGGTCTGCGAGATCAATTCACTGCCGAGTGGTCTGCCAATGCAAAGCTACTCCTCTTAGTGCACCAGGTCCTTCTGTACCCCCCCGCCCAAGGCAGCACAGCGGCTATCCAGTTGGCCTAACACGTCACCGTTCTGCTTCGTCCCCGCTGCGCGCTGGATAGATATCTATCTCTCTAAGCACCGGGAAGGGTCCCTGTTGGGTAAGGCCATTGTGGGCTCACTCTCTTGCTTGTCGGCGGCATATAATTGTGAGCACCAAGAGGACAAAGGGGGTTTCAATCCACTGCGTCTCGTCTCGCGACCCACCTCTCCTTAACCGGGTCGATCCTCCTGTATGTATTGGTGACAATTCGATACGTATCTGAGAGTTCCAAATATCGTTTTTACATATTTGAATACTTGCGGGACTGTCTCTTTCTTTGGTTGTCATTGAATATCGACTCTATACACCTCGTCCGGGGCTTTCACCATGTTTCACTCGTCGGTAAGTCGATTTGGCAACTTCCCGCGGCCTAGCCCAATTGGCATTGAGAACAGTGTCAATTACACAACACTTACATCTATCTGCAAACTCACAGACTTGACTGTGGTTCCATCACTCCCTTGTTCACGGACTAATATATGTACTCATTTATAGAAGCCGTATTCGGCTGTGACGGTCCAGATCGAGGTCCTCACCAGCGAACAATATGAGGTGGAAGATTCCAGTGGAATCGTGGATCTTATCGAGGCCATTCGCATCCAGGCCAGTGGTCCTACGGAAGCGAGTCGCGCTTTGCGTAAGAAGCTGTCAGTGTATTCACTTCCTCTGCTCGACAGCGCTCTAACGCCCTCCCAGCAAGTATGGCAATCTTCACCGCCAATTGCGAGCCCTTACAATCCTCGACTTCCTAATCCAGAACACCGGCGACCGCTTTCTGCGGGAATTTGCAGATGAGCCCTTACTGGAACGACTACGAATCGCTGCGACCGACCCGGTTTCCGATCCCTTGGTGAAAGAGAAATGCAAACAGCTTTTCGGACAATGGGCTGCCTCATACAAGAACACTCCCGGCATGGAGCGGGTTACAGGTCTCTATAGACAATTACCGAAGCGTAAGCAGCCGGCTACTCAGGCAAAAGCCAAAGTGTTGCGAGATGCGGGGCAATCCGACGAACCTACGATGGGCCATACGGTGTCCGTGTCAGCCGGAAATGGACCTGCTACAGTTCTCAGTGGCCCCAAACACAAGCACACATCCAGCAAATCGTCCCTCTCATCTTTCAGGAAGGAGAAGAAGGAGAAGAAGACACTAAGCAGGTCTTTCAACCTCGAGAAAGAGAAGCCGGAAATGCTACAGACCCTCGCATCAGCCTCCGTCGCCAGCACCAACCTTCTCAACGCCCTCAAGCTAGTCAACCGCGAAACGCACCGGGTCAGCGAAGATGCCGAAGTCCTCAACCGGTTTGAGACTTGCAAGACATTACGACGCCAGATCCTGCGATACATTCAGCATGTGGAAAGCGAGGAGTTTCTGGGTAGTTTGATTCACGCAAACGAAGAGCTAGTCACCTCACTCATGGCATTCGAAGTCTTAGACAAGAGTGTAGACTACGACAGTGACAGCGACCAGGACGTCCTGGAGACGGGATGGACCCCTGACCGCGACGACCTGCCCGACTCATTCGCAGGGCTGGTTGTCAACCCCCCAAAGCCACCTCGTCCCCCTCGCCCCTTGAGCATATCTGTACCATCCTCATCAAGGAAAGTCTATAATGACAGCGAGTCAGAGACGGAAGACGACGACGATGAGGACAATCCATTCGGCGACCGCAACGCCATTCGCACCCCTGGCATTGAGAAGCATGAACCTACCTGGTAGGTTTGTCTCCTACTAAATAATTAGATCTACGCCTAATACCCCAGCAGGAGAGAAGTTTAGACGAACACTTCCCTTACCCGCCTTTTATCGCATCACTTGATATCAAATCAACCCAACTCAAGCACACAATCCATTCTGAAACGGCCTGCACATTTCATTTACGACAAGAGAAAGAAGTATGAACTCCGCAAGGACGGCCTAACATTTGACGTCACTCCATTTCCCTTTTCTTCATTGACCTTTGTCCGGCTGGTGTCCGCATGGCTTGAGGCGCACGGGGTAGTTGTTAGAATGAATTTTCTGTATGAAGTAGTACCCTATGATTGATTCTGCTATACCAATGTCATTGAAAGAAATCAGTTCGGCAAGGGGACTAGAGAACCTCCAGTAGATTCGTATAAAACGTGTACCCGGCTGCACTCACCTAGATTCGTGAGCGCTCATTAGTACCCTCATCTCTAGTACCATACTCATATATCTCATGACAGTCACTACACAATGAAAGTGAAATAGGTTGAATGATGTCACGGTACAATACTACTACTACTTGAATGATAAAAATAAATTACGGTTGTAAATAGTTACCAACGGGTTTACTTAGTTCATTGGCCATGATGGGTATTTAGGCCGGTTCCTAGACAGTAAGTAGTACTAGGTATGATTTTCATAGATTATCAACTAGTACTATCAAATATTATATGTTCGGTTAAGTTCCCTCTCAGAAACCGATGATTCTATACTATTTTCCATATATCTATATTTCTACAGACATTTGGCCACATCATCATCGTGAGAGATGTAATGGAACTTAGATCCAACAGACCCAGACACTAGTACTTCTTAAATGAAGGATGAAAGTAGAAAAGCATTGCCTTTTGCCTAGTATCCTACTAGGTAGGTACAACGATCAAACCAGCGCTAAGTACCGAGTTCATATTCTTCCCAATGCACGATATCATGCATTGCAATGCGATAATATATACCAGCCCAGGCCCTCCATGCAAAGTAATAGAAAAAATAAGTATGAACAGAAGGACGATGGAATGGTAGAAATGACGCCAGCGGAGAAGAAACAAAAACAAGAACGGGGTATTAGAAAGTAACTTTCAATGATGTTTGTGAGAATGGACAAGAAAGTAAAGAGCAAGAAAGGAAAAAGAAATGAGGTATCTTAACAAGTCAGAGTGTGAAAAAAAAAAAACCTTATCAATCACAACACTTTCGTCTTCATCCACTCACTCGTCCCGACACCCAGGTTGAGCCCGTTCCGGGCCCACCATTTGCGGACACGCTCTTCAGCACCAGAGACCGGGTCCGCGTCTTCGAGAGCTTCTTCGATGTCGCAGGTTTTGAACTCGACGCGGAGTCCGCTGCGACGCCACCATTCCAGGACGTTGTCGTGACCATTCTTGGTGGGCCCGACGAGAACTTGGCTGTCGAAGATCATCTTGGCGCCTTTCAGACGGTACCAGAAGTCGAGGACGTGGACGTGGCCATGTGTGCTGGCGATGCGGGCAACGGATTCGCCATGGGTGTAGGGGATGCCAGAGGCGTCCCACCAGGCTAGGGAAGCGGTGCGGCCAGATTGGGCAGCAAGGAGGACGGATTTGCCGACTTTGAGGGGGATGGGGTTGGAAGGGGGTGCGTTGGCCGAGGCGGCTTTCCACCAGGCGAGGACGGCTACTCGGCCTTCGGCACTGGCGGCTTCAAGGGCGCGCTCGGTATAACGAAGTTCAAGGCCGGAGGTTCGCCACCATTCTAGGACGTTGACAAAGCCGGCGCGGGAGGCTCCGTCCATTGCGTCGGCGATGTATTCTTTGTTGGGGAGGGCGGGGGCATCGCGCCACCATGTGAGGATGTTGGGGTTTCCGTAGATGGCGGATGCGCGGTATGGCAGGTTGGTGAGTCGGGAGGTGGTCCAGAGTAAATCGAGATGGTTTTCGGTGAGGTAGGAGAGGATATCGGTTCGAGAAAACTTGAAGATGAGGTGGCATACAAGGTCGGAGAGGGGCTTCCATCGCGGCAGGCTGTCAATGCGCTTTTTGATTGCGGCGAAGGACCCTCTGAGAATGGTGTATTCCAAGGAAGCTGGGGTCGACATCTTTAACAGGTGATTTTGCCATTCCTTCGGCACGGGCAGGTTGGTTGGAATACCGACTGCTTTTGCGATTTCCCAGTCATGTAATTGGTCTTCGAAGATATTGAGCCATAGCTCCATGGGTAGTGAGCGCGGGCCATTTTCCGTTTTATTGCTTCGATGCAGGAGGTGTCGCGATATCGTGGACGCCGCATCACCAGGCATCTGCTCCGAAATGCCGGTCGGGTATGTAGAATCTGTAAGCTGGCCAGGCTTAGTGGAGACCTGAGAGAACGATAGACCCAAAGTTCGTTCGAGAACTTCATGTAGTTCTTTTAAGCCTTCCCATGGTAACTGAACCAGCTCCTCCGGACTGACCGATTCCCACAGCACCGGTGACACCACACTTATCCATGGCCAGAACTCTGCCACCTCTCGGAGTTGCCTTTTACTCAGTGGATGGTGCCATTCTGAAACCGTCATACCAGGGATCAGCACCACCGGCTTCGACGAGATCCAACCCCGCAGGAGCGCCAACGTCAACGTGTTGGTCAGCCCATATAGCATCGACCCCAACGCTCCAGCATCTATCGGCGCAACCAGCAGCATGTCAGCCCACTCGCACAATTCCGCCGCCTTGGCCTTAAGCCATTTCCGAGCCCCAGTCTTCTTTTCGAATGTTTGACTATCCACCGTGTCCATATAATGAGGAACCTTGCTTGCGCCCGACAGAAGGGCGGAGGGTTCGTCCGTGATCAATCGTATTTCGATATCGGGATTCTGAACCAGCGATGGAAGTATGTTGTCGACAAAAGCACTCTCGGTGGAGAGAAGTAAGCGTTTCCGACGAGGAGGAGAAGAGCCCGGGGCTTCTTGTATTTGATTATCTATTTGCATGGGGGTCGTAGTGGTATTTTCCGTCAGCTTTCCTCCCATTTCTGTAGTGACCTCCATTTCCGACGACCAGACACCCTTTGAAACCACCGTTGCGACACCAGTCGAGGTTGAGGGGAAACTTGCGCCGAAACCGACAGCCATGACAGTGGAGGAAAGAACGGGAAAAAGAAATACTATGTCGTAGGAAACGATCTAAGACGCAGATCCCGCGGTAATATAGTCCAGTCACGTCACGATTCGATTCGTTGGAAAAGAAAGGGAGAGCGCCCAGAACCTGTCGCCTGCAGGGATTGTGCAGCCAGCAAACCCCGGATTAGTCTTTTGGTGTGCCGTCAAAAGGAAGAAATCGCAGCCAGTGCGCAATAAAGGCGAAGGAAATGCCCTGCCACAGAAAAAGTAAATCCAAGCAGGTGACGATTGTATGAATATAAATCGGCCAGCCGGAGCTAGCGGTCGATCAATTGCAACCCAAAGTAAAGCTCTCTCTGTCGCTTTCACCCTCCAGGCCAGACCAGTAATTAGGAAGCCCAAGCCATGCACAGCAGGACGAGGGCAGGAACCGGACCGCACTGCGGATCTGGAAGCAGTACGTGTTGAGTGACGGGTGGGCTGATCGGACAGGCTTGGGAGGAAGCGGTGTGCCGGGTTGAAGCAGCAGCGGGACTTGCAGGGCGAATTAATTAGTTGTTAATGAAATCCAGTTAGCAACGGAGCTTGGGCGTCAAGTGTCCAAGATGTCTGCCGTCGCCACGTCTGCAGCGCAACTTTCAACGCCACCCAGGGTATCGTCCAAGTATCGATTTGAGGGGACTCAGGGATGATCGGAATGGAGGAGATTAAGGAGAGAGACGGGGGAAAATTAAAGGAGAGGGAAAAAAGAAGCGAGAGAGGAAGGAGGAGAAGGAGAGTCGTGCCACTGCTACCTCAGTGGAGAGGAATGGAATATGTTTCGTCTTTCAACTAATGGAAGATCCAGAGGCTGCGCTGGAGAGGAACTCGTGGTTCGTCTGCGGAAGAGACCGGCGCTTATTGGCGGGTGGGCGGTGGACCCTGCAGCCTTGACCCGATGATGATGTCGCTATTACTGTTTGTTCTGTTCGGTAGGAATGGTCGGTACAAGTAGTAGGTAGTATGTTCTCTATCTCTTACGCTGTCTCCAATTTTACACGTCGCCCACAATCAATCGCCATTCTTTACTTTTATTCTTCTCTCCGCGCCAAGTTCGAATGCAGCTTGTGCTCGCGCATTCCCATACTGACTATCGCCCCCAGTATGCTGAGTCCCAGCAACGTCAGAAACACGGCGCGCAAAGAATCCATGTAGGAATCCAACACCCCCGGGATCCAGTCTGCGGGGAGCTTCCTGATCTCCTCGAGGCTATCGCGGATCCGTCCAATCAGCTCGCCAGCGTGCTCGCGATCTCCAAACCGAGACCATAGTCCGGTTTTGAGGATATTCTGGAACACGGCAGAGGCAACGGTGATGCCAATGGTGCTCCCCGTGCTGCGGAATGCGTATGATGCGGATGTGATGACGGCATGGTGCTCATGGTCTACAGCAGAGATGAGTGCCACCAACGTAATGGTCAGCATACTCCCATAGGCAGTACCCATCAGGAAGAAGTAGATGAAGGGTAGCCACGACGGGGTCGTGAGTGTCAGCGTGCAGATCAGCACATTGGAGAGAACCATCAGAGTCATGGACACATAGCTGAAGATCTTGTATCGTCCGGTCGACCGCATCAGAATCCCCGAGCCCAGTGAGCCGAGAGAGGTGCCAATGGCTTGGGGGATCAGCCTCACACCCGCACTTGTGGCGGACAAGCCTTGGACCTGAAAGAACAAGGGCAGGTAGAACAAAAGCCCAAACACCGCCATGGTGCTGAACCAGTTGGTCAGGCAGGCTGAGAACACCGTGCGATCCAGAAGCAACCGGACAGGAATGACCGGTTCGGACGCGATGTTGGCCTCGACGTAGATGAAGAGGCCAAAGAAGACCGCGGAGAGCGGCAACGAGACAAGAATGAGAGGGTGCGTCCACGGCACCTGGTTGCCTCCAGTGTTCAACCCCAGCAGGAGCAGAACGAGACTGGCAACCAGAGTGAGAGCTCCGAGGAAATCGACCCGTTTCAGTTTGGCGTTGTCAGTGGTCTTTACCGGTACGCGTACCGTGGCCGCTACGAGGATGCCGGACACCACGACGAAAGGGACCTGGATCAAGAAGGCCCATCGCCATCCCAGAGTGTCATTGATCCAACCGCCAAATACACCACCCAGTCCACTTCCGGCTCCATAGCAGATGTTACCAATGCCCTGCCAGACCCCACGTTTCCGTAAAGGCACCAAGTCAGAGGTGACAAAGGTCGAAATCGCAGTCAGTCCGCCGCCACCGATACCGGCGATGACGCGCCCCAGTACAATAGTCCCCTCGGTTTTGGCCAGGCCACAGATCAAGTTGCCCGCTGCAAAGAAGATATTCGAAAAGACCAGCCCAGTCCGTCGAGAGAAGATATCAGTAAGACGCCCACTCAGCGGTTGAAAGGCAGCATTAGAAATTAGGTAGGAGGTAGCGAGCCAGGATAGCAAAGTGAAGGACTGGAAGGAAGACGAGATGGGAGCAGTGAGAGTCGCGACAATTGTAGTGTCTAACACGGTCAGCTCCAGCGGAACAGGCACCTGTAGTTAGGACAGGTCATACCCAAGGCAGCCAGGAAGACTCCTACCCAGATACTTCCCAGGACGAGGATGAGCTCTTTCGAGCTGGGTTCATCGGCCAAGGGGACCTCGGAGTCTCCCGAAGGCACTGCTTGTTCATTCGGCGAGTGATCCCCAAGGAGGGGCGTCTGTTCAGACACCGGCTCTCCTCGAGGTCCATTCGAGGCCGCTGTTCTGGATTGATCAGCACGCATACCTGTACCACCAATATTCTGGGTCGGATATACAGCGGTGGACCGGTTGGGTTGGGTTTAGGTTGGTGTGCAACGCAACTTGGCGGAGCGGCGGTAATTCGGGCGGCGCTCCGATAAAGAGCGGGCGATAACGCGACCGATCATTTGCCGCTTCCAAGCTTATCCAAATCCACCATGACGGCTCCGTCTCCCCCCTTCGTAGCTTTCGGCAGACTGAAGCCCTCGACGAATCCCAGGGCACTGAGAATGGGGCGGTCGGACACTTGCCCTTCCACGGTTATTGCTGAACCTTGATGTGAGCTATCCTCGACTTTTCGCGGGTTTCTAACCATGGCTCTTCAGACCCGGTCGTATTTACGATGGATCAGACTTGAACAGACCGCTTGGTCTAGTCCCTTTCCTTTCCCCCCTGATCCGATGAACAGGTCTGAATCTCACAATCACTTGAGGCAAACAGGCAAGTCCTATTTTTGCACTCGACCTATCATTCTATTTCTGGCCTCGTCAGTCATGTCACCCAGTACGGAGTAGACAACCACTCATTTGTCACTGGACATCGACTGCAAGCATGAATGAAGCACCAATGGACGTGACGTGGAATACTAAGATAGAGCTGAAAGCCAGGACCATAGCCTTGACGAGAGCTGCACACACCATGTCGGCCGACTGTTGAACAAAAAGCCTACCCTATGGACTGGCAAACGGCGCGCCGCCAAGATTGTCACTGGCTAACGGGCGCATCGTGCATGCAGAGATGAAACAAACTAACAATATACAAAGATTTGAAGGAGTCAACCGGACCTTCTAAGATAGAGTGCACCAGAAATTTCCAACCCTCAGAACAAAATCACCACGGCGATGTGAGTCCCATTGACCTGAAGTAGGGCAATTTCCGTGCCCTATATACAAGGTCTCCACTCACGGCAACCCAATTCATCTAATAGTCCCAAATAAGCGCAGAATAAGGATTGTTCGCGAAAGTAAAAGTGGGGCCCGTGATGGACTACTAGATCCTCGTACATTTTCTCTGTCGGGGTTTTATTGACAGCGCTTGGTCAATCTCACGATAAGGGTTGCCCCTGAAAAGAAGAGCCATGAGGGGGGGAAAAAAAGAAAAAGTCGCTTCCAGGAGGAAGGGAAGCAGAAGATACTACAGTCACAGTCTACTCCTGACTCGTACTCTTCATGCACCACCCCCCTGGCGCTTGGACTGAAAGTACGATGGTCTCCATAATTCAAGTTGCTAAGTTGCTATTCTTGAGCAGCAGCAGCAGCCACCACTGCAAGAACAGGATAGTCGAGCCGGGATCAACTGCTCCGTTGGCAATAGATGCGCGAACCGAGGGTTACTAACGCGGCGGGGTGCCGATGCACTTGCCCATCCCTCGTATATTAACTCCCTAGATAGAGTGGTTGTTTGGATAGACCCAGGGGTTAGCTAGCTAGAGAACTAGTTAAGTAGTCATGACTAATAGGTAAACCTTTAGATGACGGCGCCAGTGGATCAGCAGCAGTGGTCGGCGGGGACATGAAAGAGGGGGGGGTGGGAGATGAGGCAGGATGTTACTGGGTAGCTAGTAGGAAAAAGGGTCCCTGAAGCGAAAAGAATAGGAGGCATCGAAGAGCAGAACAGATTAAGGGCGCTGGCGATCAACATCAGGACCGTGCCCCCCGTCACGTGGAGGACACATAACTACGGCCATACGAAGCCTTCTATTTTTTTTATTTCTTTCTTGTCCTTGTCGTCTGTGTTTTGAACTTTTCTTTGTTCTCTATACTACATCTCACCGTTGTGGTTGTTGATCCTTCCTTTCATCATCCCTCATCTACTCGTGTATACCGAACGGATTTCCCCTCCTTATCTCCCTACTACTACCCCTCCAACAGCCAACATGCCTGGTGAGTGAAACCCCGCAGATCGTCTTGCGTACGCGCGTATGGACTTCTCAACTGACCTCGCATCCCAGCCTTCCTCAAGAACATCAAGAACAAGCTCAAGGCCATCTTCAAGAAGAAGAAGACTGCCGAGGAGAACCCCGAAGGCGCTGCTGCTCCTGCTGAGAACAATCCTGGTACGTTCTGTCACTCTCATTACATTCGTTGCGACCACTTACTGACCATGTCATAATGCAGCCGCCGACAAGCCCGCTGAGCAGGCTCAGACCGAAGGTGTTTCCGCCGCTCCTCCGACCCTCGAGGTGACGGAGTCCCCGGCTGGCGAGGCAAAGCCTGAGACGGAAGCTCATGCGGAAGCCGCTGCCGGTGCATCTGATGCCGCTGCTAAGCCCGCCGAGACTGCTGGAGACGCAGCTGGTAAGTCGAATAGCCCCCTCGTCAAATGCGATGAGAATGTTGACTGACTGACTGACCCTGCGCAGACAAAGAAACCAAATAATCGCCCTTAGGCTTTAAGCTGATGCAGCTCTCACTGCATGCATCATCCACTCCTTCGCCCGTGGCATCATTTTCCTACCCTTTGCATCATCTTCTCATACCCCAGCATAGACTGCGCTGATTTCATTTTGTTGTTGTTTTTCTCTTGTTGATATCCACCTTTTTTTCATATACCCTGTACTGCTTTCAATAGCCATGCGTATTCGCATAGTCTAATAATTCAGTCCGCGTCAAGCAAAGTATCTCAGTTCACTCGTAGTGTATTGTGTAGCAAAAGCTAGAAAAATCTGATCAATCAAATCAATGATTCGATATCAACCTGGGTATCATAAGTCGAAAGTGAGCTAGAAGAACATACATACATCCAAGAACCATGACTGAAACCCCCCTCAATCACTACCCTCATCCGAAGACACATCCACATCCATCTGACCAGCAGCCGGAGCCTCACCACTAGCAGCAGCAGCAGCAGCAGCCTTAGCAGCCTTCTCCTCTCTCGCCTTCTGCCTGCGCTTAATCTTCTTCTCACGATTTTTCCGATTCCGCTTCTCCGCCTCCAACAACTTCTTCTCCTCCTCTTTCTTCTTCCTCTCCTCCGCAGCCGAAACCCGCTTCCGCAACTGAATCCGGCGCTTCTTGCCAGGCTTCTTCAACGACGTCGGCGCCCGTTCCGCGGGGTCCTTCGCGCACGTCACCGCCGCACCCTTACTACCTTTCTTCTCACTCTTCAACGTAACAACCCTCCAGGGCAAATGGCACCCAGGCTAGATAAAGTAAACCAAGTCAGCAAAACCTCCACTAAGCCCCAGTATATATAGAAGAATGGAATAACATACCCACGAAACCCCCGAAAACCCCACAACCTGCACCCCCGAAACAGCCACATCCTCAAACTGTCTCCTCTTCTCCCTCAACCTCTCTTCCTCCTCCTGCACCTTCTCCTTCTCCCCACCGGCAGCCATCATGATCTCCGGCGCGGAGAAATAATACCCCCATCCCCGAAACGGATTCACAAAGCGTCCATCTTCCACGCCCACCGCGCCGGGTGTCGGCGAACGGACCCGAATACGTAGTTTCTGGGCTTGAGTTGTGCTAGATGACTCGACAGCTGCTGCTTGGTCTTCCGTTTTGGATGAGGATTTGGCGGGGGCGCTAAACAGTCGGAATTCGAATTCTTGTTCTTCTTCTTCGTCCGCGTTGGTGGTGGGTTGTGGTGTTGGGTTGTCGTCGGATGGGGGCGCGAGAAGATTGTCAATGTTTAGGAGGGCGCCGAGACGTTGGTGCACGTCTGTGAGGGAGGATTCCGGGGGTGGGGAGGGTGAGGGTGAGGTGGATGTTCGTTGGGATAGGAGGTCTTCGCGACAGATGCTGTTGTTGGGTGGTTAGTGGGATTGGAATTGGGGTTGGTGGTGTGGTGTAGTGGCGTAGTGGCGTACCGCTTTGCGCTGGGGAGGTCGAACATGTTTGCCTCTACTAATTTTGTGTGAGGTTTGGGTTTGGTAGAGGAGAGTGGTGGATGATAGTTCGAGGGTTGATGGTGTGTCTGCGGTGGAGTGAAAATTGTCGGCGGATGTTGGTGAGTGGTTATTTCCACGGGCGGGTGTGGTGCGGCCACGCGTTCGGAGGATTGATTGGTATCTCTGTGCCCTATGGAGTATGGTATAGAGTGGATTGATGTTAGACTTGACACTTTATTGCTTTTGTTTTCAAGATTTAGTATATGTGATATGAAAATGAGAGATTTGATTTGTTATATCAGTCAGAATATAATTGTTCCTTTGTAGGACGTACTTGCGAAGTATACAATTGGGTTTTCTGTTCTATGCTGAAACAGTTCCGGGTTAAAGGCCCAAATGAATCCAAGCTACCAGTAAACGGGTTGTATAGAATTATCTCTTGCTGCTAGAGACATGATCGTTGCACTAGGATGCCTAGTATAAGCTGTCTACTCTGGATGTCAAAGATCATACGACAGCATGATTGTTCCACCAGGCATGTGACAGTATAACCCTCTAGTAACCACAGCACCTCCTGGCGTGACATTCAACGGAGCATAAATCCAACACTTGAGACCATTGTAACTATTTAGAAGTTCAAGTTGGCTGATAGAGAACCTCCAGTGACTTCAATGGCCGACAATCAAGGCACTCATACTACATCTACCCGATTCCGATGACATCGGCTCGCACGGGCCACTCCCAACCCACCGAATTATCCAAACCGTCACTCCCTTCAAGTCACCCAAGATCTCAATCACCTAACTAACCAACCACGCATTTCACCCTCGCAAATCATCTTCGCTTGAGCACCACCGCCCGGCGCGTTTCTACTATCCAATTCAGCATCCAGACGCTCATTCCAGTCATTCATTCGCCTTGCTCTTTTTTCACCACGACCCGATACTCCCGTTTATAATCAAGCCGTTCCAACCTCCACCACCACCACTACCGTCATTGAACATCTCTCCTGCACCTCCACCTCTAATCCGCCGATCTGATCAGCACAAATGGGTATCTGCGCCTCATGTCTAGGACGTAATCGTCGGGAACCCCACGATGTAAGTCCAATACTATATTCTTCTGCCGCAAAATAGGAACAAGCGCACGCCAGCCAACACTCCTCCCTCCCTTTGCGCCCGACTCCACCAACCCTCTTCGCATCCATCATCTAGAACCCCAAAACTAACCTATCTCCCTCCCTACAGCCCAACCACCCCGAATCCTCTCGCCTCCTTGATGAAGACATCTACCAACCGGGCTACGGCTACGGCGCCCTTAACCAAAGCGCCCAAGGCAATCACCCAGACCCTAGCTACCTGAAGCGCGAACGAGAAGCCCTCGAAGCAATCTGTCAACGAACATCAGAGTGAGCCACTCTTCACCAGTATGGCAGATATCGAACTCAAGACTGATAATGTGCAACAGCTCCGTCATCGACATCTGGTCCCTCCAACCCCAACCGCACCTCCAACCTCGCGCCACCCTCCCCAGCACCGTCCCCCCTCCTTCATCCTCCGATGGCGATGCGCCACCCGTCAAAGTAATAACAACTGACTCGCCACCGGCTCGCTCAAAGAAACCATCCTCTCCGGCTGCAAAGGCAGGCGGCACGGTCCCGAAACACTGGGGCGAAGTGGTGATAAATACGCGCAAGAATCGGTCGCGGCCGGGGTCGAGTACGGATGAAGACGGTGCTGCTAAGAGGGATGTATTCGGAGTGTTGAAGGTTACATGATTACTGTAACTATTTAAAATGGGGGGAAAAAATGACAGATGACGGCAGGTCAAATGTGATAGGTGCCGTGTGGTGTTGCGTTATCAGGGTCGCTTGAGTACTAGATGAAACAGGGCTATGGATGGATGGATAGATGGACGAACGTGACGGAACGGACGTGACAGCACTTATCGCACTTGACTTGACTTGACGTGTTTGATTGATTGTTTTTGTTACCCCCTTCCTTTTTTATTTCTATTCCTGCTTTTTACTCGTTTCCTCTTTCTTGCCTGCTCCTTTTTTACACATCTTCCCCCTTAATACCCCTTTTTATTTTCTTCGCGCATCGCGATGGGTCGCCGGCGACGACGGGGTCAACTATGTTGTTGTTTTTTTCTCCCTTTTGCCATCGGCGCTTTTCATTACACTTCTCTTCTCAGCTTTTTCTTCTTCATCTATTCTATACCCTTGTTCTGTGCCTAGGCTGATGCTGAGGCTTTTCACTTACTACTTCTCTCTCCAGATCTTTCACTGTGCATTCATTCATTTCCTTTGTTCGTTCCTGTGTTGTCTAGTTTGGTTGAGTTAGATCGCAGATCGCGCTCGACGCCAGTACAGTAGTACTGCTAGTACTAAACAGCTGAAAAATAAAACGCTTGCTGTATGATATGAAAACATACAATACGATTTAAACAAGACCCCCATGCTATTCTACGCTATGATACTAGAGTTGGGATATAACAATAATGCTCCATTAGCGATATACAGTCTTTATGTTGGAACATCTGCGAGAGGTGGGAAGTAGAACAGACACTGCGGAAGTAACGCTGCTGTCGAAGAGATACGGATCAGCCGGTCAACTTCCTGCACTTGCACACCCCCCATGTTACATGATCCGATCGCCCATTAGCTACCTTCTCTTGCGACTGTCGTACTAAGTCGATTGCTGCACTTTGAAACGACTGAACTCCGCCAGAAACGCCTTCCCGCCTGACACCCAAAAGATAAAAGCAGCAAATAGTAAATAACACCGAAAACAGATAATAGACAACGATGCCTATGCAATATACTGGTGTGAAATGTCCAAATCAAGACGCGAATGGTCTAAGACAGACTGAACTGCGGCAGAACTAAACGTCGTCCATTGTACCGGCTGGCTCTTCGCCGCCGGACTCGTAACTGCCTGCCGAGCTCAGTTCGTCTTCCGACTCTGTGTCTTCTCCGGCTTCGTCGACGGCCTCTTTGCTGGCGTACTTGGCTACGTATTCTAATTACAGGTCAGCTTGGTTGAGAACATGTTGCAAGTGGTGTGATGACGTACCCTTGACCTTTGCCTCGTAGCTTTTCGGCTCCCGCATGAGCATAGCAGCTGCTTCACCGTTCAGAGGGTCTGAAGGGTTGGGGTAGCGCAGGAGCTGAGGAAGGAAGACTTCGAAGATGTTGATCATATCGTACATGGGCGACCATGTTTGGTTTATGACATCCAAACAAACGGAACCCGACCTGGGCAGCTGGTGTTAGCTGGAGGAGATAAGATTTGTCGACACTGTCTTACAGCTCATCGATGTTCGGGTGGAAAATCCGGTTCACAAACCCGATGCTCGGGCTCTTGTATGGGTATTGATCGGGTAATTCGACGTGAATCTTCCAGTGGCCACCGGCGAAGGGTGCTGGCTATGTCAGCAGGTCCGGTTTGCAATAGTCAGACCTTGTATGGATCTTACTCTCTTCCGGTCCCTTGAAACGCACGTAGAACTCTTGCCTACCAAGGAGAACAGTCAATATCAGTCGGGTATCCAACGATTGTGGGGCAAGCCGGGTCTGCATACACTACAGTTCAGAGTCAGTATCCAAAAGTCGGTGGCAAAAGGCTGTGGGCACTCACTGTTATCATTAACCAGAGTCACCTCATAATCACTCATCAACCTATGCAAACCATCAGCACAAGTCCCCCTGAAAGCTATTGATATGTCCCATATCCGAAATCGCGTTCTCATTCCTCCCCGAGTTGGAGGAGATATGGTCGGTGCCGGATACGGGGAAGGGTGCGTACATCCTGCCAGAACGTCAGTCAGTCATCGATAAGGTATGAGCGCAATAGCGGTGCGAGTGCATACTTCATGACCTATAAGTGGAAGAATCTCGAGCGTTAGTCTCCTTCCGCCACCACTTTCGCCGCAAGGGCATGAGGGGTACCGAGGGGTACTCACATCTGTCTCAATTCTCCGCTTAGGGCTACTCATCTTGAATGACTTGCAGATAAAGCAGGTAGGTATGAAGGTAAGAGTAGACCTCGAGTCCGTCGACACCGAATAATCTGGATTCAAAGGCGAATTGCACAAGTGGGTGGAATCGAAACTATCCCTAAGGTCGAAGCGGGGAAGCAATGAGCGGGGCGACTCTGGGTAGAGATAGGGCAGATCAAAGGAAGCGGTAAAAGTGCGGGCGAGAGGGATCGCAGTAAGGAGGGTATAATAAGACCGAGGAAAGAGAGAAGAAGTGAGCAAGGCTGGGACGAGAGGCGGAGTCGCTTGATCAGAAGGAAGTGGGCGAGTTGTTGAGGCGGGAGAATTGGGAGAGAAAGGGAAGAGAGGGAACTTAAGAATGGGTTGCGGTGGTGGTAGTACGTAGTATGACTGATAGCGGGGACGGGGGGGATGAGGTGACGGGCGCTGGTAATGACCGGTAACAAGTGGTCACTGGCAGCGCTTCCACCCAGTCATTCGGCGCGTATCAATCAATGTTCCAGTCAGCTGGCCCCGGAGTCACGTTCGCGGTGTATTTATAGTTTCTGTATGTGAAAGATTCTATTGTCATGTTACTGGAGATCCCGAAAGTTATCTCTCTGCTCGTATGAACAGTCAAGGCACTCTCCGACTACCAATAGTTCTCTTGTCTACGCATTGACAGGGCTACCCGATGCCCAAAATTCAATCTAGCCGGCCGGGAATGGATGATCGTCGCTAATGGGTCCCCTAGCGGAACGCCGGGGAACAATCCTGATCTCAATAGTGAACTGGCTAGTTATCTGATTCAGGGACAGTGTTGCTTGGTGTCTGCGGATTCACACCTATTTCTGCATCTTACTGTATTCGTAAGAACGTCGGAAAGCCTTGTTCAGTGCAGATTGACCAAGAGTCAAGACAACGCGAGTGTTCCAATGGAGACAAGGGCCCGATGATATGCATGCATCATCGCTACCTCATGGCACTAAAGTCGAAATTCGCAGTGGGTCTTTCTCGGTTGGCGCTTGACAGATGTAACTCTGCCCGAAAAAAAGTCTTAAATCCGCTTTTCGGGGTAGTGATATTGTGCTATTGTAGTGCTAAACAGCTAGGAAAGATAGTAAAGGTGTTGCTTGGTTGAATGGGAGCATACCTCTTGGGCGACAAAGTATCAGGATTGGCTAGGCAGTCCACCCCTGCTTTAGAATGTACCGGTGGTATCTGGATCTTGGCAGCCCTGAAGATCGCTTTGTTCTTCATATTCGAACTTACCATGGTAGAGAAAGCGTTGATGGAAGGATGATGAGTGCCTGCCATTTGATTGGACCACCCCCCTGCCTCAGGTGTCCATCGGCGCCTAGCCAAGGGAATGGAACATCAACAACTCGCATCATCCTCACCATCAACACCAACATCTTCTGCACACTCTTTCTTCACATTCCTTATCATCTCTCGCTGTTTCTACTCATACTAAACTGTCCGCTGTTCAAATTCCTCATCTAACCTCGAGCGCAAATCACCCTACCCAGCGTTAACCCCTATCGCCAAACATGGATTCCCCATCACCCCAGGGCCTCTCGGCCCAAAACTCACCCAAACCCGACCAAGCCAAACTCACTCACAGACCAGCCAATCGTAAACAATCTTCTGATTCTTCCTCAAATACCCAAAATGCACCTATACCAGACGACAAGCACGGTGCCGATTTGCCAATGACCATGTCCGCCTCAGTGGTGCTAACCAGCTTACCCCGCGATGCCCATCAAGCATTGGCGGACGCTGAGGCTGTCGATACGGGAAAAGGCAAGTAAAACTACTGCCAGTACTACTACATCTTTACTGCCCCAATATGTTTCAAATGCTCCCTCGATTACAATAATGAGCTTGTTCCGGGCTCCAGACTGGCCTCTCACTGCTAGCGCCCATATCTATTAACGTCATGCGGCTTATCAGGATAAGCCATATGTTGACAGAAGACTAACGGTGCACCAGTTACCGTTCGCTTTCAGCCACTGCCTTCAGCTCCCATCCTGAAGAACCGTGTGTTCAAAATTAGTGCCTCACAAAAGTTCGAAACAGTCGTGAAGTTTCTCAGGAAGAAGCTGGACTGTAAAGAATCCGACTCGGTATTCTGCTATGTCAACAGTGTGTTTGCTCCTGGCTTAGACGAAGGTGTGGGTGGTTTATGGAGGGTAAGCCGTCTTGATACGTGATCTAAGCCACTCGTTTACTTACAACATTCAGTGTTTCAAGACTGACGAGCAACTTATCGTTGCTTACTCTATGACGCCCGCTTTCGGCTAATGATGAGCAAAGGTTGATGTGGTTTAGTGCAACAGCTGTCTGGACCATTTACAGGTAATCTTGCTGAACCAGATACATCTCAACAAGCTAACATGGAATGTGAGTAGGAAGGCAACTATGCGCAAAAATCGTCAAAGGTCATTTGACAATGTATGAGAATTATGGACATGAACATGAAATACCAAGGTATCACAGAAACGACTTGCTGGACATGATATGCATTATATGCTGCTTCAAAGAATTTGAATCAAACAACGCTCGCAGCATGAGACACTAGGACTCCGGGTGGGTTCCTGAGCAATTATTCTTTGTGAAAATGCTCGATGGCCTTTTCAAACTCGGCCAATTCCTCCTTCGCAATGGGGTAGGTGTATTCTTCGGAAGGATACGCCCGGCTCTTGACTTCATCACGGTATTGTTGGATACCCTTAATAGCCTCTCCCCAGACGTCGCCATACTTCTTGACAAATTTGGGAAGGAACCGGCCCGGGGGATAGTTTCCGGTCATATCAACCTGGACCAGGACTTGTCCGGAACATCCGTTTCCAGCACCGATGCCAATCGTGGGGACTCGCAATTTCTTCGTGATGAGGGCGGCAATCTCAGCGGGCACCGCCTCCAGAACCATCATGAATGCGCCAGCCTCTTGGACAGCTAGAGCATCCTTCAGAAGCCTCACTGCGCTGGCGGTCGTTTTGCCCTGAACCCGGAATCCTCCAAGAGCATGTTGACGTTGAGGCGTAAGCCCGATGTGACCGCACACAGGGATACCAGCTTGCGTGATACGTTTGATGGACGGAGCCATCTCAGCACCACCCTCGAGCTTTATACCCTGGACGCGACCCTCCTTCACGATGCGGATGGCAGACTGAACAGCCTGCTCGGGGGAAACTTCATAAGATCCCATAGGGAGATCGGCGATCTGCAAGGAAACCGCACGTTAGTATGAACCTTCTCTCAAGAAGAATGGTATGGGCACGAACCGTGAATGCACTCTTGACAGCACGTGCAACACTCCGACAGTGCAACAACATCTCGTCCATGAGGATCTCATTCGTATCCTCCATGCCGAGGGCGACCATGGCCAAGCTGTCACCGACCAGGACCACCTCCATCCCCGCCATCTCCGCAACATGGCCACTGGGGAAGTCATACGCCGTAAGCATCGTAATTGGCTCACCCTTCTTGTAGAGGTTCCGTAACGTCTGCATGGTCACCTTCTTCCGGGGATTGGCCGAGGTGGCCCCCAGCGGAGAATGAGAGCTATACCGTTTCTGAAGCTCCGTCGGAGCAGGAGTGGCGATGGCATGTCGGCCGGCGAGAACCGAGAAGACGGGAGCGGATGCAGCCCGACAGCGAACGGACGACCTCGCCAAAGGCACTAGCAATTGCGCCGAGAATCTCGAGGCCATGATGATAGCAAAAAGCGACGTATAGATATGAAACGAAGCAGAATTCGCTTTGAAAAAAAGAAGAAAGAAGAGCGACAACACCAGTCGCCCCTGAAGAGGCAAATTTAGGGAAAGCTGGAGGCAAACCGCAAGAAGCCGAAAGCAGCAAACACGCAGGTACGCACAAGCACCGATGGGCGTGGAAAGACCGAGTCGGAAAACGGAGCGACGGGCCAAAGAAAAAAAGGGCTAATGTCGTCACTACCCGTGGGCAGCAAACTAAAAAAGTAATAAAAGGGAAGGGGGAAAGAAGTTCCTTCAGGTTCTGGATCGTTATCAAAAAAGAAACTTATTCAATACCCCACATAAACCCTGGCACAGGCACAATGGTTGACACTGAGAGAACACAACAAGAGGTTCAACAATAAGAAGTTAAGCTGAAAAGCAAATCCAGTACAATAACATCCCAATTAAAAGTTTCCTACCCGCCACCCCCACGACCCGAGGTCTCTCTTATATAACCCCAAGCCCTGGTATAGATGATGCCGCGTAGTCCGGATCATCCACCCAGAGTAAACATCAAAGTTCCAAAAAAAACCTTAGCTTATTTAATGAAAATTAGTTAGTGCCAATCCCCCAACATTTCGTCGGCATTATTTTCACGCTTTACCCGATACGGATGGATTATGCTCCGTCTTAGGCGCGGATACTTACATGCAGGTGATTCCACTGCTTTCTTCCTTTTTTTCTTTTCTGTTTTTCCGAGCCGAGGACTTGGGGAGTGGGCCGAGGTTGGTGCGAGTCAGTACGTAGTGATACAAGTTACTGTGTAGATTGAAGAACTGGAGGATTTTATGTGGTTTTATGTTTTTGCTGCAAGGATGGAATTAAATTGGATAGTGTGTGTGTGTGTGTGTGTGTGTGTGGGTAAGTAATAGGTTTGTTCCATTCATATGCCTATAGCCTATGCTCTAGCTACTTCTGTAGTTATAGCTAAAGGCTAGTAGTAGTAGTGGTATAGTGACACACGATGTCCAGCCAACGAATTGAACTCATAGTGAGACACGACATCAGAAAGAAACAAAAAGGTGAAAGAAGAAAAGTAAAATAACCACCAAGCTCGTAAGCAGCAAGCAAACAAAAATCTCAACATCAACACCAGTCCAGACATGTACCGCCATGTCTTTTGTATGCAACCAACCTCCCCTCGGTTTATTCGAGTACATCCATTCATCCGCCCATGAAGGTATGGTAGGAAAAAGAAAAGGCAAAATGCAAAAAAAAGATACTATATAGGAAAATGAGTGAAAAGAAAGTAAGGGAGAGAAGAAAAAATGTATGCAATCCTGGACACCATTGAAGTATAAGCTTGTCTTCCCAATGCGCGCGGTGTGTGTGCATGGATGCATGTATGAATGTATGTATGTCCTGGATGTTGATGAGTCCCATGTGTCACCTGCCTTCGTTCATTGGTTGGTTTTGTTTTTTGTTTTTGTTTTTTCCTTCTGGTTCCTCATTTCCCATCTGATTCTGATTCTTTCTTTTTGTTTTTTTCTGTACTGATGTGGGGTTTCCAAAATCTTCTCAAAAATTCGTCGCTGGCGAGGCCGTTAGATGCTTTTCATTCATCAGTCAACAGTATGCAGGGATATGGCATGCAGAATCCAAGGACGCCGGTTGTGCACCAATTACAGGGGGGACCGAATTGTGAATGGAAGTGGTGATAGCATATAAGGAAAGGGGAGGATGAAGCAATAGAAATGCAGTATTAATCGCATCGTCTGTCGATAGTTGTACGTAGGTTTGGACAATGATGGGATGACGGGTGTATATGCCAGTGTTATGAAAAGACGAGCTGAATATCTTCACATATTAACACGGCTGAGCGGCTAGCAGATCATCTCCGCGGGCAACGCTGCAGCCAGTTCAGTCCAGGGAAATAGACGAGCCGCAACGAATTTCATATCCTTTCCTTTCATTCTCGAACGCACGGCCTGCTTATAACCCTGGGACTCCTTCCGCACCAGATTTCACAGGCCTCTCCAGCTGATAAAGTAAGGCATCGAGCTCGGCCCAGTTCGCTCGGTTGGTCGCAAAGCGGCGGTGTTTTCGGGTCACAATGTGCTGCCAAAGGTTAGCATTGTCGTTTCTGAATCTAGAGCTTCCAGACTAACCTCTTCAAAGTCGTCGAACTTGTCCCTGCAGTTCTCACAGTAGCCTGGCTTAGGGTCTCTCCGTCTCTCCTTCTTTTTGGGTATTATTATGGTTTTCCGATCACCGATCCGCCGCTTAGGAGCGCCACTGTTCTCCAATTGCGTTGATTCCTCTTCCGGGACGTTTACAAGCTTTTTAGGCGGTTGCATATTGCCGAGGCTGTTCTCCAATGGTTTCGTCTTCAGTGGTGCGGATCCATCTACGGCGTGGTGTGATGGAGGCACAGTGCCCGTTGCAAGCCCTCCGTTTCCTTTTTCGAGCACCTTTCTCTTGAGTTCATGGACTTCCTTGCTCAGGCCAGCCTTGGCACCGGGTGCCGCAGCAGTCGATGAAACCATTTGCGAACGAATGGCGGACGTAATATTCGAGGGTTGTACACCTGATGCGGCAGGTTCACGGCCATGGAAAAATGGCCCCTTCCGTTGCGGAGGCGGAGGCACGAAGCTCTCGGAGCTTTTCCTGGGCGATAGTTGCTTTGTGGACTGAGTATCCTGGAGTTCAAGCTGGGGCTCAAGGGGCGCCTCTTCTGTTTGGCCCAATTCGGGAGTCTTATCCTCGGGCTTTGTACCCTTCCTATGAGTTTCTGGTGCATTTAGTTTCGCGTCTGGAATGTCTTGTACAGGAGCAGCATTAGCAACAGCTCTTTCGTCCCTTTCCTGTCTCTCCGTCCTCTCTTTTATACGGGCGCGTTGGCGATCGATGTCTTTCTGTGTAGGGGGATCCTCAATGAACGGGCACTTTCCTAGGCGTGCACTTCGGAATTGCGGCCATATACCATCCTGCCGCCTTGCAACTTTCGGGTATTCTCGCACCATCACAGGGCGCGTCTTTTCGTCCATGTCGTGGACATATATGAAAGGGCCCTTGAACATAACCAGCTCCTTCAGGACCGAGAGGGGATTGCGATCCGACGGGCCATTCAGCTCATTCTGAAGCACTTGCGAAAGATCGTTTTCACCCCGAGCCCTAGCATGACCACCAGCAACATTGCTGTTTCGCGTCGCGTGGCCATCATGTCCTCCGACATCGCCATCATTGATCGCCGTGATCATGCGCTGCAGTTTCTCAATCGCCCAAATCTTCATTCCCATTTGGCGGGCTCTGTGCAAAACGTCCATGCCCTTTTGTTCCCGTCGTGCATCATTTTTCAAGGTCATATGAAGGTGGGTATCGGCGCACTTCTCGAGCAGGGATGGGTTTACTGTCTGCAGTGAACCATCCGCCGCCGCTTGCTCCGCCGACTCCGCATTGTAATCAGGTGCATTCGTAGGACCGTTCTCCGGAGGAATAGGACGAGACGTGACGACGTGGGTCACTAGACGCGAGAAGAATTTTTCTTCACGCTGTGACAAATGAAGTCAGTAAAGTCACGCAGTCGTATAGGAATTACCTCCACCATGGACCGGTGGGGCATCGTTGACCCTCCGCACGCAGTTCCGATAGGGGAATCATGAAGTGCTGGAGATGTCAGCCAGACGCAAACTTACCGCTCCCAATGCAAGCACCTGTCTAGAGCTCTTGCTGCGAACATCTTCCGGGATGCTATCGAAGTAAAAGACAAATTGAGGAAACGCCTTGCGGTAATGCCTCTGCCACTGCCGGAT